ACAGAACTTTAATAGAGTGTGCTCGAACTATGCTCTTAGACTACAATCTACCTAAATTCTTTTGGGCAGAATCAGTTAATACTGCATGTTATGTCATAAATCGAGTATTAATCAGAAAACAGTTAAATAAAACTCCTTATGAATTACTTAAAGGGAAAACCCCTAAGATATCTTATTTTCATCCTTTTGGATGTCCTTGCTACACTCTGAATACTCGTGACTCTCTAGGCAAATTTGATGCCAAATCAGACCCTGCAACATTCCTAGGTTACTCAACTAAAGGTCAAGCATATAGGGTTTATAACAAAAGAACCAGAAAAGTAGAAGAGTCTTTTCATGTTCTATTTAATGAGACAATGATCACTACTCCAGAATCTCCTTTGAATATTGATTTGAGTGAACTTACATCTCCCTACCAAGAATCTTGTAGTGATCAGGTTGCTCCAGCAGAAAATCAGACCATAGAACATCAGACTCAGCCTGCTGAAGATCTCAGTACTGAAAACACTGTTCCCAGGGCACCTCCACATATCCAGAGAAGACACCCAGAAAGTCAGGTCATTGGAAACTTAAATGATGGTCTTCAGACAAGAGGTAAGTACACTCCTGGCCAGTATGCATTTGTTTCTCAATTTGAACCAAAAAACTGGAAGGAAGCTATACAAGATGAAGAATGGGGTTTATCTATGGTAGAAGAATTAAACCAATTTGAACATTTACATGTTTGGGATTTAGTCCCAAAACCTTAAAACATTACAGTAATTGGCACTAAGTGGATTTACAGGAATAAATCTAATGAGGATAACATTGTCATTAGAAACAAATCTAGATTAGTTGCTCAAGGGTATCTTCAAGAGGAAGGTATTGACTTCGATGAAACATTTGCACCTGTAGCTAGGCTCGAATCTATTAGATTACTCTGTGCTTTTGCAAGTTTTATGGGATTTCCTCTCTACCAAATGGATGTGAAAAACGCCTTTTTAAATGGTATTATACATGAAGAAGTCTACGTAGCACAGCCTCCTGGCTTTGTAGACTTCGAACACCCTGACTATGTCTACAAACTAAATAAAGCTCTCTATGGTCTTAAACAGGCTCCTAGAGCCTGGTTTGAACGTCTATCATCCTTTCTTATTGAGAAATCATTTGTTCAGGGAAGCATTGATAAAACATTATTCATAAAACATGTATCTGAACACATTCTGGTTGTCCAGATTTATGTAGATGACATAGTATTTGGCTCTAGTGATCCTAAGATGTGTACTGAATTCTCTGAAACTATGCAGTCTGTTTTTGAGATGAGCATGATGGGAGAGTTAAAGTTTTTTCTTGGATTACAAGTTAGGCAAAACAATTCTGGTATCTTTATTAATCAATCCAAATATCTACAGAAAATGCTTCTCAAATTCAACATGAATTCTGTAAACTCAAGTCCTACTCCTATGGCAACAAATCTCAAAATTGACAAAGATCCTTCCGGAAAGCCAGTAGATGAGAAGAAGTACCGTGGGATGATAGGATCATTACTTTACCTAACTGCTAGCAGGCCAGACATACAACATAGTGTATGCCTCTGTGTCAGATTCCAATCTGCACCCAAAGAAAGCCATCTAAGCGCTGTAAAACGGATTTTTCGATATCTAAAGGGCACTCCTGAAGTAGGATTATGGTATCCTCGTCATGACAACTTTAAACTCTTAGGATACAGCGACTCTGATTTTGCTGGTAGCCTTTCAGACAGAAAAAGTACTACTGGCACTTGTCAGTTTGTAGGAACCTCATTAATCTCTTGGTCATGCAAAAAACAAGGAGCTGTGGCCCTTTCCACAGCCGAGGCTGAGTACATTGCAGCTGGAAGCTGCTGTACTCAACTCATTTGGCTAAAAAATCAGCTTAGAGATTATAAAATTAATGTCTCAACTATTCCTTTGCTGTGTGATAATACTAGTGCTATATGCATGTCTAGAAATCCGGTCCAGCATTCTAGACTAAACACATAGAAGTTAAGTTTCACTTCATTAGGGAATTAGTTGAGCAGAATTTAATTCAATTAAATCACATTCCAACTGAGTTTCAATTAGCCGATCTGTTTACTAAGCCATTAAGTGCAGATCGATTCACTTTCCTTTGCTATGAACTCGGACTTAGATCTCCAGAGAATCTGGAGAACTTGATTTGATTGTCTGATTCACCTTCCTGTATTGTATGATTTAACTTTCCTGCTTTGTTTCTTCCTGTTTAATATTTTCTTTATTTCCTGTGCTTGCTTTAGTATTTATAGAATTGAGTACTAGTTCTTCTCTTCATCTTTCTTATCGAGTCCTAGCAGTCTTCCCTAGCTTTCCAATGGTGTTTGAATTTTCCATCACCTACACTAGTACCCTGTTCCATGATCCAATCCCTGCCAATGCCCATAGGCATGCTGTGTCCTATGCTCGTCGTCCCATCATCCCCACTTATCAGATTCCTCATGCTGGTCTAGTTGAGTATGGTCTCGATTTTACTCAGCTTATTCATAATCTGGGATGGGACTTTCTTATCGATGAAACCCCTGAGATTATATGTCCTGAGGCTGTTCGTCTTTTTTACTCAAATTTTCGCTCCTTTGGCCTTGATACTCGCTCCTTTACTACCCTCATTTATGGCCATCTGGTTACAATTCCAATTGAGGATCTGAGGCGTCTTCTCGCCATTCCCCAAATCGGTGAAATTTTGGCTCATGAATCTGAGCTTGTGCTGTTCAATTTTAACATTGAGCATGAGTTTGTGCACCTTACTGGCCACACCCCAGATGCTCTGCTCACTCTCCCTACTTCATTGCTGCTTCCTGGCATTCGAACTTTTCACTTTTTCCTCACTCATCGTTTCCTTCCTAGGACTGTCCTGTTAGATAGAGTCACTCCTCTGGACCTTTGGGTGATTCAGCATGCTGTATCGAATGTCCCTCTCGACTTCTCTCACCTTTTGTTTGGACATCTCTACATGTTCCAATATTTTGAGTATCATGGTCATCTTCCTTTCGGCCCCCTTATCACTCGTCTGGAGATCTCTCTCGATCCTTTTCGCACCACAACTCCTACCATTTTTATCACGGCTGATGACGTGCTGGACGAGATTGCCATTGCCGTTGAGGGGGAGGATGACTCTGAAGACTCCGGTGACTCTAATGAGAGCAATGAGGACGAACCGGAAGAGGAACCTGCTGAGGAAGAAAGTCTTGAAGATTCTGGATCAGAAGAAGAAGAGCCAGATCAGAACATAGAAGTCCATTGGATCAGCAGCAGTGATGATGACTCTGATCCTGGCTCCCCTCCGCTGAATGATGTGCTTGCCGCTCTGCAAGATGCTTATGAGTCTGATTAACCCTTCCTTTTGCTGTCAACTTAATTTTCGTCATTAACCGTTTGCCTTGTTGGTTGGTTTGCTGGACATGTTTTTTTCCCAGCTGTTTGGATGGATTTGTGCTTGCTTTGGTAGCTGGAAGTCCTTTTCAGATTTTGAAACTTGCTCTCAGTTTGAGATCATGGATGCTGAATGATTGCTGAACACCTTCTAAACTCGCTGGATAATTGCTTTTAATAGAACTGGTTAATCGTCGTATGTGCATGGAAAGGTATTATCTGTTTTGCAGGTTTCAAGCGAACAATTGACAATCTCTAACTTAGGGGGAGATTGTTGAGATCAAGTTAGAAGATTGGCAGAATATTCAATGCACAAATTAAGGGGGAGCAGATCAAATTAAGGGGGAGCAGATCAATCAATCAAGGATCACGACTACCATCTGCTCCACTTACCTTTGTTACTCAGAATTCGAACTCCAACGGCTATCCAAGACATATATTTAAACCAACAGCCAAGGAAGAACAAGATACTGATCGGCAAAGAAAGTCTTTGTGGTAAAGGGCAAAGATTGGGGGTTCTGGGATTAGTGGCTTTGATCTAAACTGAGGAATAGGTTCAGTTAGATCAAAGGATGTAACAAATTCCTGCGTGAATTTGGAGAGTCTTGTTGCCTTTTGATTTTCTCACTAGAGTCTGTAATCTTTTTCTCTTCTTTCCTTGATTCAAAAACAGAAAATCAAAAGTGTCTCTCAGGATAGTGGTACTATCCTGGGACGAGGAGTAGCCCTGTGGTGAACCTCGTTAAAAATCCCTGTGTGCTCTTTACTTTCTGCTGTCCCTTCACTCTGCATCCTCACTCTGTTCTGCAACTCTCTGTTTCTGCACGAATGGCTCAGCGAAGAAGAAGAAGCTTTCACAGCCTTCTTTTCTGGGTTTAGGACTTGGGCCCTTTTAGTTGTCAAGCCCAGTTACAATTGCATTCTTATTCATAAGTCTTGTGGTTGCCTGGCCCAACTCATCCTAACTCGGTTCAATCATATTGAAACCGATCCAACTTAAACAGCGGCCGGTTTGATTGTTGACTATCCCAAGTCAAAATCCCTAACTCTCTCCTTCTTCATTTCATTTCGCGATTTACATTTCACAAACACCCTCTTCGATTAACAGCTTCATCAAGACTGGATTGTTGTCCTTAATGTATTGTTACCACTTCTATAACCTTGATTTGATTTTTTGGGTTTAATGCAGAGGCTATTGTCCAAAAAAAAAACATCCATCTACATGAGTAGCCTGTGGGTATAAGCCCCACAATATCCATTGACAGGCGTACCTGTATTTATACCCTTTTGTTTTGAATTTGAAAACAAGGGATAGGGTACGCTCCAGTATATAAAGACAGCCTTACATAATGTATAAAATAATTGTACATAATACGCATGAAAAGAGACAAAAAGCACTGGATAATGGATATTGTCCATCATTCATTTTTCAAACCACACCCCATGATTGGGTGCATTACTATAATTCCCCCCCACACCCCGTCTCCGATGAATGAAATTGACCTCACACACAACAAATGGAAACGATTCCCCTCTTTTCCTCATACAAAGACATAAAGCCAAAAGCAACCCAACTCGCCCCATTTTCACGTAACTCACTGAAATTGGAACCCAAACAAACCCTTTTCTAAAAGCACACTAATTACCCTCCTTTCACCTTCTAATCATTCCCTAATTCTCTCTCTAGTATACTCTTCCTCTCTTCTTCACAAGGCCATTTAATTAGTAGCATACCTCAAAATTGCACATACCCCAAAAGAAAACAAAAACAAAAAATGCTCAAGCTGCTCTTCTTCTGGTTGTCACTGTTGCTAACGTTACACCTCGACAGACCTCTCGCAGAAGCAAGTAATGTGACGGACATTTTCATCCTGGCGGGGCAGAGCAACATGGCGGGGCGAGGCGGGGTGGAGCACGGCAGGTGGAACGGCGTCGTCCCATCGCAATCCGCTCCCAGCCCGTCGATCCTCCGGCTGAGCGCCGGGATGAGATGGCAGCCGGCCGCGGAGCCCCTCCACGTGGACATCGACGTGGCGAGGAACAAGACCTGCGGGGTGGGGCCGGGGATGGCATTCGCCAATGCGGTGCTGCCGGGGCTTATGCGGTGCAATGAGGCGGCGGCGGTGGTAGGGCTGGTGCCGTGTGCGGTGGGCGGGACGAGGATCCGGCAGTGGAGGCGGGGGAAGCGGCTGTACGGTCGGATGGTGCGGCGGGCGAGAGCGGCGGCGAGAGGCGGCGGGAGGAGGAGGATCCGAGGGGTTTTGTGGTATCAAGGGGAGAGCGATACGGTGCGTAGAGAGGATGCGGAGGGGTATAAGGGGAATTTGGAGAGGCTGGTGGTGGACTTGCGGTCGGATCTTGGCATCCCTGCTCTGCCGTTTCTCCTGGTTTGTTCTCCAAATTCTTGCCACGCTGTTATTATTAAATTTTCCGGGGGGAAATAAGGCATTTGCCATGATGATTTCTTTGTTTTGAAAATGTTATTTTAAAAGCTTAATGTTGCAACCCATGTTTTAATAAAAATTCAAAAAGTGTATTAACACACCCTAGCAGAGGTACGTCTTTACCCTACCAGTATTTAGGATGTCAAATGGGTGGGTATTCCAAATCTCGTATTCGTCACTTATCAGGTAGGGATCATGTCGGATAATACTAGTAACAATGTGGGGTGGATCAACTTATTTTGGTATTTTCACATATTATTTGAAAAAAATAAACACAAAAAATAATGATTTTATGATAAAACAACGAAAAATCACTTCATGAATAAAAAACATTCATAATAAAATGAGTAATTGAGATTAAATAATCGAAAAATAAAATCTTGCAAGTTGCACCTATTATAAGTTTTATTGGGCCAAACTATTATTGAAATAGGAGAAATACAAATAGATTTTGAAATTTTTTTATATATGATGGGTCAAGATTCAAGAGTAGGTAAAGGACGAAGCAGGTTAGGATTAGTACTCATACCCTGCCCCAGTACCGGTATGAATCAGATTGGGTAATAATCAACAGGTTGAGCTCAAATTACCACTCATACCCGTATTAACATTAATATGTGTATAAATGAATAAAAAAGCTACTTAGACGATCGAAAATATATATTCCACTTTAATCTAATTATCATATTACATTGTGTTTTGCAAGGATATTCTTAGTTCTTCAACTATCGAATTTGCACATCTCGTGATTCACAAATAGCTACTGTAGATTTCGAGATATAAAATCCAACTATATGTGAGCATGTTATTACAAAACACCATGTAACGAGTCAAATTCCACAGCTCACTAGCTAAATGCCAAGTCTGGTTTGTCTGCCATCAGTTTTAAATGACCGGAACATTGATTAAAGTCATTAGAGTTCACAGAGACCTGAAAATGTCAATCAGGGAGAAAAGCTAAGCTATAAGACGAATTATGGATGGTCCAAATTCTTATGTGGTTCTTCTTTCACATTCTTTTAGGCGTCGTTTAGTCTTCAAGATTACTCTCCCAGTCCCAGACCAGAGTCCAAACTGCCACAAATTTTGCCATTTCTTGGGGGAAAAGTTGTCCCATTAGACAGAGAACTAAGGGCCGACATGACATTATTGGGGCAAACGAAAGAAAGAAGTGCGGGTTACGATAAGGCTGTCCCAAATGCCCAAAACCAAACTATTAAAAATGTGTGGAAAATAAAGAACCATAGCTAGCCGAAATTCATCCATAATTAGTGCCGGTTGGCGTGCAATGGCCAATACGCTTTTTCAGACCTAGGATCGTGATTACTCATGACTTCAAACAATTTTCATTTCCTCGTAGTGCATTGTCATTATGGAGACACAACGCATGATTGATCCTAGTAATTAATGATACATTCTAAATAAAGGGCACCTTTAATCTTACTCATCTATCACTATTGTTGTGAGAAAATATCAAATATACTACTAGATTTATGGTCTAGTGAGAGATAGTTTATCATATTTTAAGGTACTTTTTGAACTTGTAGAAAGCTAGCTTGTCATTTAGACATGACTTATAGCAAAGACTTTCGTGGTATTGTGGATTGATCAGGAGCTAGCTAGATTTGAAGGCGAAACGATTTGGTAATCAACTACTAAGTTATTGATGTAAAATTATTTGAAACTATAATGTATGATTCAAATATCACAAAAATGAATAATCGTACAATGAAACAAGATTTACATGGTTAAACCAGTGTGCCTATTTAGGGAGGATTTACTACTTTTCTTATTCTAACATGTGTTGAGTTGTTATATGATTACTTTACCATGTCAAATTACGCAAACATTAACAAAAGACGAGGAGGTTTGCGTAGTGACAGAGCCAAAGCAACGGACAATGGGTGCCATTTTACCCCAAAATAATAAGAAAATTGATTTGATATCCAACTAATACGATTTATAAGAAAATGAATATCTCAGTAATAAAAAAAACTTTGATGAACAATTGCGATGTGTTTTCGTATTTTGGAGGGGGGAGGAATACTCATTATTTACACCCCGAAATAAGGCTCTTTTAAACTATTTAAGTAGAAAGTCATTCACAATATTGATTGCTAATCGATTAAAAAATGTGCTATTGACCTAGCTCAAAGGTGGAAAATATTCTTTCTAACACTTAGTATTTTCTTTTCAACACTTGATTAGATCAAGGATTATGGTATTATGATATTGAGTAGGAAATATAAATTATTTTATGAGTTTGTTAAGAAATAAATGACACAACGTATTGTAAAATTCGTTTGATTAATTTGAAAGTCTATTATTTGAATATCAAATACTGATTTTAGAAGATACTAGTGGCGATGCGCGACTTGTCGCCGAGCGGAGATGGCCTATGGACATGTATTATGTGGCCCGTTATGGTGTTTTGTTATTATTATTAGTCTAAATTAATTTTTTGTTAGCAATTTTGTTAGTAATATTGGCTTGACAATAAAATAATGACTGGGAGCAGATATATTGCGGCTAACATCCAATTTAAATTTTTTGAAAATTTTGGCTAATAAATGATATTTACATAAATCCAAGTAGACTCATTGATTATGGGTATAGTATGGGTGACATATATATGGGTTTGGAAGTTTGTAGATGGGTTTGGGTAGGGTATGAATATTTACTTTCATAATCTAAATGTGTATGAGTTGGGTGTGGATACCCATTTTATTCGAGAGTGTTTTACTTACACATACAAAAATTAGACCTATTTGTAAAACTTCAAAAGTTGAGGTACTAAGGGTTATGGAAGGGGAGTGAAAAATGAAACGAAGGGAAAGTAGATGATGGAAAGGTTTTGACCAATTCTTTTATTTGACGTCAATACAACAGTCAACTCTTTTCACCGTAGCAATTTATTGACACTTGCTTATGTATAAGATGTCGCATATTCTGTTACATGTAGTTAGTAGAAGTTTGTTTAGTACCCCGTAAATGTACTAAATTAGTTTATGAATTTGCTCTTGCAATATTTTAGAATCGTCTCTCTTTCGTCATTTTTTTAATGTTTCACGTATTGTGTAAATATAAAATGGCCGAATATTCTGCTACTGTTGAGTGATATATCTTTTATGGTACAAACTAAATTTATAATTTTATGTTATGGTGGATTGGATTCATGGATTGGTTCACAAGGATTGGTGGATTAGATTCATGGATTCAAGTGAAATCTAAACATTGAACCATTATGTAAAAGTAAAAAATTATATACGAAAATCTCATAAAATATAGATACCAAAACATAATTGTTCAATGATTTTACATTAAAATTAAATTTGAGGTATCAAAATGTAAAATATACATTATAGTGACTAAGTTGTGGTTTAATTAAATTTGGGGTATCAAATAGCAAAATTATTAGGCAACAGTAATGCTTCTTCACGTTTATATAATATTTATGGTACAAACTAAATTTATAATTTTATGTTATGGTGGATTGGATTCATAGATTGGTTCACAAGGATTGGTGGATTGGATTCATGGATTCGAGTGAAATCTAAACATTGAACCATTATATAAAAGTAAAAAATTGTATACGAAATCTCATAAAATATAGATACCAAAACATAATTGTTTAATGATTTTACATTAAAATTAAATTTGAGGTATCAAAATGTAAAATATACATTATAGTTACTAAGTTGTGGTTTAATTAAATTTGGGTATCACATAGCAAAATTATTAGGCAACAGTAACGCTTCTTCACGTTTATATATATTAATTAATATTTCTATAAAATTTTAGAGTTATCCTGTAATACCACAAAAGCTCGTGACTCCACCTATAAAATTAAGTAGTATCCTCAACTAAGCTGGTCGTAACTTCCATTAAAAAAAAAATAAGATGGTTGTAACTTGAAACTAATCCAATATTGTTATCTAACGTAAAAGTTAACCCTTTCTACAGCTCAGTACACCCTCACGTATATACAATTATACACAAGCTGCCGATTACTACCCTAACCTAGGCTAAGTATTGTAATTAACCATTATTAAGTTTGGTTTATTACAGTTACATACACAAACTTCTGACATACACTATGGAGCTCACCATATATATTTGGTTACGGACAATGTGTATTAACCACATCTGTGTAATTAGTAATTACTGGGGGCGGTGGACAGGTTGCAGTGGCATCTGGGGAAGGCAAGTTTGTGGAACAAGTGAGGAAAGCTCAACTCACAATCGACCTTCCAAACGTGCAATGCGTAGATGCCAAGGGATTGGGCCTCAAAGCAGATCATCTCCACCTAACCACTACCTCGGAGGTTCAGCTGGGCCAGGAGCTGGCTCGTGCCTTTCTTGCTCATTTTGCCCATCGGCCATCATTGCACCAACTTATGCAGTAGCCTATCCCTCTGCGTCTGCGATGATTATTATTATTGTTGTTGTTATTAGCTTATTATTACTGCTATTATTATGAGATTGTGTCTCAGCTATAAGGAGAAAACATATGGGCTCACAAATACCACACAGCGGGCCCAATCGTACTTGGACATATAAGGTGTCTAACTGGCTCAGGCCCATCAGATCACGACGACGACGACTTGCGGAGCCGAAAGTAAAATCTTGATCCGTGTCTCAATCTGGGTTCTGATTCTTTGAGCCTGTTTCTCAGCTGCGTCAGCAGACTGGCCACTCCGAAGTCTGAAACACAGCGGGCAATCAGGTTACAATCCTATAATGGAGTTAAAGCCAAAACTAGCTATTGACCCGGCCCGTTGATTGGATTACTTTAATTACCAATCTGTGAAATGGGAAAGTGAGTTGGAGTAGGAGAGCATCTATTTGAGTCGAACTCACAATTTGGATCTATTTGAGTCCATATAATTATACATGTGAAATGTTAATATAGACCATCTAGCTATACTGAAAAGAAAATTTCAAAATTTACATTACATTTGGATGTTCATTTTCTTTTGGGTAGCTAGTGTAATGAATATAATTTTGACCCAAACTAAATGGTTGTTTATTGGTATGATCCATATGTGATATTACCAAATATGATTTGACTGGTAATAAATTGGGTTTGAAATGAATGTTTTTTGCCATTCATAGAGGAGGGAATTTTTAAGGTCTCGTTTGACATTAGTTGTTCAAACACCACCACATCCACCGCTAAGGTATCACTTACCCATGAGACTTTTTAATTTATTGTGAAATGAGAGGGTTAATTCCATGGTTTGAGGTTGCATCGTTTATTCCTTTTGGAACAATGAAAGTGGTCCGAGGTTGCATGATCACATGGTGCATGAGCAAAAGTTATAATTTTAATAATTTATAATTTTGTTTTTATCTTTTTAATAGTAGAAATGAGGTGGAAATTATAAAAGATTAAATTTTATTATTTTATTAATTTTTTAAGTGCCACATCACTCACTTAACGGTAAACTTGTAAAGTTGACTGTCACATAAGCAAAAGTTAACAGAGTTGGACGGAGAGTGACCAAATGTGAATGTTTCAGTAAATTGAAGTACTACCAATGGATTTAAATATTTGGGCTAATACCACTACAACACCCGAACTATTCCGAAAATGCCACTTGTGTCCTATTGTTTCCAATATTCCATCTGTGTTCTGAACTATTATACTTTGTGCCATTTGTGTCCTGCCGATTTTGTTGACCGTTAAAGATAACGGTTGACCAAACGGTGGTCAAAGAGAAGTTGACTTTTGTTGACGTGGCAAAAATGTGGCTACCACATAGATGCCACGTCATTGACACCTCATATTCTTAATTAAAATTAAATTAAATTAAAAAATGTAAATTCAATAATATTATTAAGCCAAAATTTTAAAACAAAATAAAAAAAACTCTTCGTATTCTTCTTCTTGGTGCAAGAAATTCGTTGCGGCGAAACTGAACGAGGTCGCGGACCATAGAGACGAGATCACATCAGCTGGACGGAGTGAGGAAGGCGAGGGATTCGTTGCGGCTGGAGATGGAGAAAATCTGGGGGATTCTGAGCATATCCTTTCCATTTGCACCAGATCAAATCCCCAGGTGGAGTTCTTCGATGATGGTTTGCCTTCCTCTGCTCCCTCTTTGATTCGCAAAATTGAAGAGGATATCCCTCTGTACAGAGCCCACACTGGCTGGGATTTGGACGAAACTCGCCGTGTTTCTGGGTTCGGGAAGCATAACGGAGGGTTAGGAGGTGGTGGCAGCCAGAATCGACGGTGGCCCTATGCTTCCACTTCTCCCCGCACGTCGCCGTCGCCGGCGGCAACTCATCATCCTCCACCTGCAACTCCTCGACAAAATCGGTGTTTTCATATTGCCATTCGAATTCGTTGTCTGCCGGTTCAATTGCAGGCATCACAATCTGCTGTGTTCCTATTTTGGGGGGTTTGGTTCTAGGGATTTGACTTCTCTGAGATATGTAATCGAGATCCACCGTTCCATGTCCGAACTCTGCTCCAGCGGCCACGACCAGGAGTCCTTCGATCTCGCCAATTCACCAGATACGCGCATCATCTTCAGCTCATCATCAACCACCTCCTCTGATCCTCTCCGTCGCTTTCTGCTCCCGCGGAGACCGGATGGAGAGGCATCTCCGAAGATCTATTTGATGTTGCAGAAGCGATTTTAGCCTATAGGAAGAAGAACAAGATCAGTGCTCTGGTCCAGTTCTTGTGCTCGTCTGTTCTGGAGCCGAGGGTCGACGGTTGCTCATCTCTTCCAGGCAACGATTCAATCTTGGAGGGGAAGAGGAGCGAACAGAGATATAGAGTTTTTTTTATTTTAGTTTTTTATAAATATTATTTTATATAAATTCAGATTAAAAAATTACACGTCAGATGCCACATCAGCGCCGAAGATGCCACATCAGCGCTGACTAGATTTTCTGTTAAAAACTAACGGTCAACAAAAGTCAACACTAACGGAATCATAGTTCAGGACACAGATGGAATATTGGAAACAATAGGACACAAGTGGCATTTTCGTGATAGTTCGGGTGTTGTAGTGGTATTCGCCCTAAATATTTTAAGTGACCAAACTTTTGAACGTTTTTTGTAATCTCAATGACCAACCATGCAATTAACCCTGAAATGAGATGATCTAAATTCCTTCAGTTTTAGGTTTCAAATTAGAAAATTTGCAATCACTTATTTACATAGTTTTCATCTCCTACTTCTAAATGCGCGAGATTTAAAGTTTCTTCATCTAAATTTCATAGCAAACTATGAACATGAAAACAGAAGCAGAGGTGAGTAAACAACAAAAGATCACAATGCTTGTAGTTTTAGTGGCATGAAAATATATTTGAGCTCATAGATAAATTAAGTGCATGTCATCTTTCATTGAAAACTAAGCGAAATTTAGAGTCATTCACTGTTATATAAATGCATCTGAGTAAAATATGTTTGTATTGGGGGTAAAGATCGAGAAGGCCACGCAACGCACTTATGCTTTCCGCTCAATTACCCAAAAAATCGCGCTACTCCGATATGATCCGCGGAATTGCCAATCGCGGATCCCGCATAAAGGTTCCGCGTAACTGAATCTGCGGAAGGAATGCCAGTGTGCCCCGTATCTGTCTCTGACCACCTTGTCTTGTCATCTGGATTTGCCCACCAAACCCAGAAAGGCTATAAATACCACATTTACTACACTTAGAAATGGGACTTAGGGATTCTCTCTCTATCCTTCTCCCTAGATTTTCCCGTTGTAACCTCCCAATTGTAATCTCTCCCTCAGTATACATTCGAAGGTTAATTTGGAATCAAGAGGGGTATCTGTTCTCTTGTCGAATCTACGTTAAGTCCCCTGAATTACCGTGCAAACCTCCTACTCTTAGTCTTGCACAAACAGCTTGGAAACTAATTTTGCATGCATTTCCAAAGGTTAGTAGTGAATAAGAGAGTATATATATATACGTACGCCCGCGCGTACCTTAGTCTACCGTACGCCCGTTGAGTTTTGCTATTTAGACAATGAATTAACCAAAGTTTGGGACATGATACTATATCATAACCCCCTAATGGGTGAACCCCAGTCCCCAACTCACTAATCCAAAGCATAATATTCATTTAATCTTGAAATGAAAATCAACGGTCCTGATTTGTCAAAATTATTGTTGATTTACTTTTTAAGATTAAACGAATCTCATGATTTGGGTTAGAAAATTAGGGACTGGGGTTTACCCATTAGAGGTTAGGGTATAGTATCATGCCAAAAACTCCGGTTAATTCATGATTTAAATAGTAAAACTCAACGGGCGTACGATAGCCTAACGTACGCCCGGGCGCACGCTAGCCTGAACCATATATATATATATATATGGCAAAGGCTAGCGTACGCCCGAACGTACCCTAGCCTACCGTACGCCCGTTGAGTTTTGCTATTTAGACAATAAATTAATCGGAGTTTGGGGCACTATACTATACCCTAACCCCTAATGGGTGAACCCTAGTCCGCAATTCACTAAACCAAATAATAATATTCATTTAATAAATTTGTTAAGAGGAGTATATTATACCTATAACCCATTAAGAAATATACAATAAATTTGTTTAGTCTAATTTGTTATGACCAAGGCTGACACTCAATTTCCACCAATGACTTATTTAAGCAAGTGGGTCAAGAATTAATTACCAAATTAGATTAACTTGGTTTAGCCTAGCTTTACCCAGGTATATGAAAATTTTTATTAGTTCGACATGTATTATGCTTAGATATTTATGAAATTTCTATGATAAATTTAGATACAATGATGATTTAATAACTTATTCATTGGGATTGAGTTTTTTTATACTTTTTTCTCCTTTGGAAATTACTCTTTAATTCTTAATTTCTTCCCTTTTTTTTATCTTTTTCCATTTCATTTTCTAGTTTTTTCTTTCCTTCTTTGCATTGCATATCATATTCCATTCTCAATGTTTTTTTACTCTTCTTCTCCAATTCAATTTCAAGTGTATATACAAATGAGGACATTGGTCTATGTTAATCACACAAAGTCTCAATTCAAATACATGTTCGTCCAGGTCTTTTTGCTATTCTTTGTATGAGATGTGGTTCATTGGCACTGTAACCTTGCGGCTGGAAGAAAAATGGAATCGACTACTGAGGAACTATGTTAGCTTTTGAGATGGTTGAGGTTTGTATTGTTTCCTGCCGATACTAAAGGAAGAAGAAGATCTTATGGGATGACCGAACACGAGTGTTGATGTACGCTACTGCATGGGTCTATGATAAAGAAAAGGACGACATGTTAACAATGCTAGTGATTAGATTTGTCGAAAATGATGTCTGTTTGAAGTGACTCAGTGCTCATATGAGTTAGTTGAATCGACTTGATTTCCTAATTTGAGTGGGTTTCCTGGTTCGGCCAAGTTTGGGTTGATAACCAACTCGGCCTCAAGCATCCTAAAATCGGATAATATTTTTCTCATTCCAATCTTATGTATTGTATTCTGTGTAGATGTTAAGACGTAGACATATGTTATTGCCCTAGAAATTCATTACATTTCAAAAAATGATGAAATGAACCAATAATTAAACCCAATCTCGTACAATGATCATTGGATCTAATCACACCAAATTAGGAACATGTTTCAAACTTAGTGGTTAACCCAACTTAAACGTTAAAAAACCCCTCTCGTATAGTCTACACAACAATATGATTTCTTCATAGTAATTCTAAAAATGAATACTAAAATAAAATTTTGGCATTGCTTCGACCTACTTAATACTCCAATTTGATATGCAACCAAGTTATGGGTTACAATTTTAAAGTTATCCACTATTTATAATATACATAGAAACACAAATTAAGTATTAAATTGCAATTAGAATAATCAAAATATGAAAACCAAAGTATCAAATCACCAAATAAG